TCTTTTTAATTTGGTTGTAGAAGTTTTTAGTGCTTTGATGCACAGGGCAATGTTGTTATTGGTGATTTTGGTATTTTTATCTTTCATCTACAGTATGCCAATGATACGATAATCCCCTATGACCTTAATCCCCTCTTTTTCTTAAATATCAAATGATTGTTGAGATGTTTTCAAGTGGTCTTTGGCTTAAAAATCAACTTCTAGAAATGTTTCCTTAATGGGGTCAGTGGCGATCAAAACTTGGTGAATTCATGAGCTGGCATAATTAACTACATAGTGGGTAAGTTCCCTTCCACTTATCTCGAACTGCCTTTGGGCGCTATCTCAAGATCCACCAGTGTTTGGCAGCAGGTTCTTAGAAAACTCGAAACCAGATTATCTTCATGGAAAGCAAGAACATTGTCTATGGGGGGTCGTGTGACTATTAAAATCTGTTTTGAGCAGTCTTCCCATCTTTCACATGCCCCTCTTTTAGATGCTAGTCAAAGTCAGAATTACATTGGAAAAAACTACAAAATATTCCTTTAGGGTGGTCCAAATTTGGTTCAAAAAGTTCACCATGTTAGCTGGGAAAAAATATGTAATTTTCGTGATTTTGGAAGGGGGTTGGGGGTTAGGGCTTATGGATTTTGGGTTGAAAAATAGAGCCCTCTTGAATAAATGGTTATGACGGTAGGGTAATGAACCACAAAGCCTATAAAGAAGAATAGTTGCTGCTAAGTCTGGTCTTGATCAAAATAAGATCATTCAAAGCTCAAGGAACTCCAACAAAGCCTCCAGTATTTGGAATAAAAGTATAACATCATCAAATCCTTTTTAGAAGCTTGGGCTTTTAGCCTTTATGTTATTCAAGATATGAGTTTGTCTTTGGGTAATGGTAGTGGCATCCATTTTTGGGAGAATGAGTGGATTGACGACTTTATTCTTAAAAATTAATAAGATGTGGAAGTAAGAGGAAATATATATTTATTAGACATGAGAGAATAAATATATTTTTTATTAATTATCTTAATTTTTGTATATTTTCAATATAATTAATTATATTATTATTATAAAATTATGTAACCTATAAAAATTTGAAATCTAAAACCCTTGCTTTGGCAGCTTGACCTAAAAGCCAACCCGGACAATGCTTTAGGCTAAGTTTTAATGAGTTCATCTCCACCGTCAACTTTACTATGGCACCAAGCTCGACAAATCTCTCCACTGTGTGAACGCCTATAAATTAAATAGGGCCTCTCAACTGTAGAAGTGTCAAGACAGAAAAACGTTCCAAACTCTGGTAAAATCCTTTTAAGATTGTGTTTAGAGCTTTTTATTTAGCCTTATTCTACCCAATTTATATTAGGAGTTAGGCATTTAATTTCCCTAAACGTAACCACTCCTTTCCCTTCTCCTCAATCCTCCATGATTGTACCTTCCAATATTCTCTAAGCTTTGTATCACCTCACCAACAATGAATACTTAACATATTATCTTCTTTATTTGATGCTCTATTTTGGCCATCTAAAAACATAGGCTTGCAGAGGTTGTCTTCTTTCGCTTTTTCTATCTTTCTCCATTGCCAGTAACTCGCCAACCTTGAACCACACCCATTTCTAGCTAGAGTGAACTTTTCGCGATTTTGTTTCACCATTTTTGGCCAATTCTAGTTTAGGACTAGACTCGAACCAAGAGACAGGAGAGAGGGTCTAGGTCGACTCTATCCCAGCAATCCAAGTTTCTCTTATTATTGGCGACTCCACCCAGCGCCCTCTCCAGCACCACGTCACTTTCTTCAATTCACTTCACTTTGATGCCATCCTTGTTCAAAATCCTCCTCAACAACCATTTAATAATTATTTTCCTTTTGTACTGAAAAAATGTTTGTCCTTTTCATTTCTTTCTCTCATTTTTATTCCTTTCTTCTTCTCTCCTCCACTGATGAAATTGTTGGCTTCGTATAAGCCTCTTCAAACCAAAACTAGGGTCTCACTACATATTTGGTGCATTTTTTTTCTTAAATAATATATGTTAACCGCCAACAAAAATTAAAGATATCGTGGGTTAGTGCCTGTTACCTTTATTCTACATAATTTTACTCATTTTCACATTTTGTGGTTATAATTACAAGAAAATTAGAGTTTTAACTTTAATTTCATATAATAAAAGATAGAGGACTGATTTCCATCTTTGAGTGAAGTTATAGGACTTATTTGGATATCATGCTTAAATTTAACATAGGAAAAAATAAAAATTCCAAAAGTTTCCATAAGAAAGAGAATTAAAAGGTGGAATGTGAGTTGAATATAAGACGCGTTTGATTCATAGAATAGACTAAATTAAAAGAAACTAGATATTCTGTGGGAATAGAATAAAATAAAAATAAAGTGAAAATATTATTATATAGTTTAGTTGACGGAATAGAATAAGATAGAAATTACTATTATGACTTATTATAATATTTAATTAGTAAAAATAAATTTGAAACAATAATAGAATAAGTGATAAACATACAAAAATATCTTTTATTATAATATATAATTATTTTATTTTATCTTTTAAATATGAGTAATGTATCATTTATTTAAAATATTAGTAATTAATAATTTAAATATTAAAATTCTTAAATGTTAATATTTTATTTATAATTTAATCATTAATATTTTAAAATATTAATATTTTATTTATAATTTGAATATTATTATGATAAAAAATATTAACAATCTTAACTAATTCTCAAATTTAAAATACTGAATTTTTATAATATATAATTAAAAATTTAAACTTTTTTTTATAATAAGATTTATTTTTTAAACAAACAAAAATACCCTTTATATAATTTAGTAAAACTTATAACCAAAAGACAAAAATAAGCAAATTTTTTCTTTTATAATCATTTATTTTTTATTTTCATTAAAATTTTAGAAATTTATTATTAAAATATTAGTCTAATTTTTTATTTTTACTCTATTTGCATATTTCACTTTTTAATTTATATTTTGAATAAAAAATTAAAATATTAATAATTTTAAAATTTAAAATTTAAAATATTAATGTTTTATAATTTGTAATGAAAATATAAAAAATTTTGCTTTTAAATTCTTATAAGGGGTATTTTAATTTTTAAAACTATTTCTCAAACATAGAATAACAAATATCATAAGGAGTTGGATTTAATTAAACTATGACTTTTGGTTGATTTTGAAGAATAGCTAATATTCAGCTGTTCACAGTAGCCAACGTACTGATAGACAGTATCCGTATTAGACTACATGCATGGACCAAATATATATCTGGGGACTGCATCCAGTGGCAGTCGACATCCGTATGGCCTGTTAACGAGGCTGGATTTGTGATAGCCGAATTCGGATCTGCGCTTGGCAGTGTGAATCTTTTTACTGCATTATATGACTCAGTCAGTTTCAGATCTATACGCTTTTAAGTTGGCAGAAACATGCAAAGAAAACCAAGGAAATAGTGAAGACAATGATAAGAGTGGCTAACAATTTTCAGTGTCGGCAAAATTGGTAAGAAGTGGAGGAAAAGCAGACAAGGATGGACTGGTCCCATACGGATAGATGGCTGCGGACGGGGAGCTTATATGTCACCACTCATTCCTGAAAACGCTTTACCATTTATGACAAAACCTTTTTTTGGAATAAATGTTTTTGTGTGGTTACATATAT